AAAAATCGCAAAGGTTAGCATTTGACTTTGGATGGATTCTAAAACTTTTAAATATGTTTATTTGATTTTAGCATTTTCAATCTTGTAACTACGTTGATTATATATAATTTTAAAAATTATAAAAACCGTAAAGGTTAGGATTAAAAATAAAAATTAATTAGACATTAGTATTGGACTTTGGATAGATTCTAAAACTTTTAAATATGTTTATTTAATTTTAGTTTTTCCAATCTTGTAACTACATTTGATTTTTTAAAAATTTTAATTCACATAATAATTAATCATTTTTTATTATAAAATTCTTAATCGTATGAATAGAAATATAAAATCTTAATATTTTATTTATACTATCTGTATTAACTTTAATCATTTTAATATTATTAAAAGAAGATCAAATATAATTATCTCATATTTTATTTTAACTGGTAAAGTTTATTGTATTTTTTCATTTTATTTTTTAAAAAATTTTAAATGGTCAATGTAATTTTTTAATGGAAAATATTTGAGACCCCTTTTTGAGAAGACCTCCACCACCCTCACAGTAATGTGGACCAATGATGTGTTTGTATTTTTTTTTTCTTTTTTACTTGGACCAATTACAAGTAAGTAAAAATTGTAAAAATAATATTTTAGGAGAATCTGAATTCTGTTTATCCTAAAGTTGTTTTTAGAATTGGCATGTACTCCATTCTTGAAACTAGATAATATACTGTTTAAAATGCTAGAGTCCTCAAAACCAATAAACACTTGGCTTTTAATATTTGGTAGGTAAGTAAATCTAATAAATTCATTACCTCTCACGAACATTAAAAATAAAATAAAAAAATTCAATATGTGCACGTGGCCAATCTTCAAAATATAAATGACTTAGCTGCTCAAGTAAATTGTGATTGGTAGGTAATTAAAATTGAAGGGGTCAATCTAACCATGCCATGTTAGATTAGGCCAAGCACCCATTTGGCTACAAGCCAAATCCCTCTGTGGGCTTGGGTTGAGTGATCACTGGACCAAGTTTCATATTCATTTTTATGATCTAGGATCGACATCGAGAATCTGAATCATTATTGTTTTTCTGTTTATCCTAAAGTTGTTTTTAGAATTGGCATGTACTTCATTCTTGAAACTAGATAATATACTGTTTAAAATGCTAGAGTCCTCAAAACCAATAAACACTAGGCTTTTAATATTTGGTAGGTAAGTAAATCTAATAAATTCATTACCTCTCACGAACATTAAAAATAAAATAAAAAAATTCAATATGTGCACGTGGCCAATCTTCAAAATATAAATGACTTAGCTGCTCAAGTAAATTGTGATTGGTAGGTAATTAAAATTGAAGGGGTCAATCTAACCATGCCATGTTAGATTAGGCCAAGCACCCATTTGGCTACAAGCCAAATCCCTCTGTGGGCTTGGGTTGAGTGATCACTGGACCAAGTTTCATATTCATTTTTATGATCTAGGATCGACATCTATGATCGAGTCTTGAGAGTGTGAATAAGTCCCAAAATAGAGACAAAATATACTGACAGGACAATATAAAGGATGAATTAGGCCAAGTGATATAGCAACTTAAAGTCAATCTGAAACAGAGTATATACTTAGTATGCTTGATTGGGCCAACCAGATACGATAATGTTCCCTTAGAAGTAGCAATACTAACAAGTAACTTGGGTCAAAAAAGAATAAACCAAGATATGGATTGGAGGTGGTTCATTCATGGAAAATTCCATGGCACTAAAATCTCTAGATATTTGGTAAAATTAGTTTATGAAAGATCTTTGATCATATGGGATAACGAACTTCTAACATGAAGGTCAAGTCTAACAGAATGATGGTCTCCTTACTCCAGGCATAGTGATGACCTTAGTGAAGGGGCACATGAAGCAATTATCTTCATGTGTATTTTTGCGAACAAGCAATCAGTATAAAACATGAACTTCTTTTTTTAGGATCCACTCAATATTTTAAAACCCTAGTTCTTTGCATTTCTTTGCTCTCAATTCTTCTTCTCAAATTCCTTTACCATCAGAGGGACTTCTCCAGCCAAACTCCGGTGAGACAATACTTGCAATATTCTCCTTATTATAAGTTGTGGGTCTTGAATTATCATAATTGATCGGAACTCTAATTCTACCCATACGAATTTCACCCACACAAAAAGTAATTAGATTTTCTTTTGGTAAGAGTGGAGCTAAGGGTCCTACCCTAAGAAGTTTCTTGTCCTAATATCAAAAAATCATATTTAAATTTTAATGTTTGGTATGTAAATAAATATATAAAATTTATTACTTCTTGCAAATATAAATGAAGGGTAGTGCTTTATACAAACATAGCTTGGAATAAAAAGATTACATGCATATAGAATGGTGTTGCCCATTTATCACCATCCATCTACTGAAAAAAAATAAAAATAAATAATTATTATTACTCTGTTTCATAACGGCAAAATGTCTTTGACACATTTAATAAAGAATTTATATAAGGAAAATACTATACATAAATAAAATTTATATAAAAAAATTTAATAAGAATAATATGACATTATTATTATTGTAAATAAATTCATCTTGAATAATATTTTATTTTAAAATAAAAATTCATAATAAATCATATCATTATATATAATTTTTTATTTATTTATATAACATTACTCTTTGTATATAATTTAACATTTCCGATAAATGAAAGGTTTCAAAACTTGTATGTGGACCAATCTTGTGATTCCACTAAATTATCGCAGATTAAAACATTACTCAATTGGGACAAGCCAACGAAGAAATATATTAAAAATGAACTCCAAAATGGGTTTAGAGCCAATTCTTTACCAACCTTATCCTCATATTGGTATTCATTCTTGTCAGCTTTACATCGTTACAGAATTACAATTATATTTTTATTATCATATTTTGTTTATCAATTTATGCATTAATATTAATAATAAATATGAATAATAAATTTTAATAAATTAATACAATTGATTTGTTTGTGATGTGAATTAATTTTTTTAACTTGGGACTAAAAAGTCTTATTTTGAATGAATCTTTTGAATTTTTTTAATTTTTATAAAAAAAATAATAATAATAATTATATAATTTAACATTTAACATTTTATCTTTAATTTTTTGATTTATTTTATCTTTTTATAACTATTTTACTCTCCTAATCTCTTCCCAAACCGAGTGCAATACACTAGCCTTGGATCCAAGCAATTTCAAACACCCAATTACACAATTCCCAACCAACCCGCCAAATGTGTTTAATTGGAGGATTTTAAAAGGAATTTAAAAAGGAAAATAGAAAAGGTGTATAAAATTAATTGAAATGTAAGTATATTTTATTTATTTTGTTTATTTTTCTTTTTAAATTCCTACTTAAATCTCTAACCAAATACAACATTTAAAAAAAAAAAAAAAAAAAAAAAAAGCAAATCTCTTGAATAGATTCTCATAATCTATTAATCCAATGAAAAGCTATTCCTCTTCTCATTCACATACGAAAAATGGCACATCATAAATTTCAATTCCCCTTAACACTTCCCACAATAAATTATCATTATGTCCCTTGAAACCACTAAGAAATGTGAAAAAAGTTGTTCCAATTACATATGCACATCTTACTTGAAACTAATTTTAAGGTTTGAACATATATGTAATATCTTTTTTAAGTCTGAACATAAACCTTAATTTACATCTTAATAAGATTGTAAAAAATATGATCATGACGTCATAGCTCTGTTTTTCCAAGGGGAAAAATGTTAAGAATCGGAAAATTTTATTTTGCATGTTACTTCAAATATAAAGTGGAATGTATAAATTTAAAGGGTTGGGTTTCTCTATAGTCCATCATTTAGATTAAAGGGTACTTGTCAGGATTTGTAAGGCTCATTATGTATCTTATTTTGATAATTTGAATCGTTTATTTTGTCAAATCTTGTAATATATTATTCATAAAAAAATAGATCAATCCGATATTAGTAACTCATTCATTTTGTCGCAATTGTACCAAAAAAATGAATAGTCTATTTTTAAAAACACATTAATTATTAATTTTTTAGAGACAGACTCAATAAAATAAACATGTTACAAATATCGAATTAATTTAATTTTTTATATTAATAATATACATGTATGGTCCGATAATAAATTAAAAAAAAAATTGAATCATTAAAATGGTATTCATGATGGGTTATGAATCCAAATAGCACTCTCTATTCTAAATTTGGAAGGTAGGATTTAAAATAATAAATTATAAATATATCTCTTGAAATTTAATTAAAATACGAATCGCCCCCTGTGATTTTAAAAATTATATTTCACCTTCTGAAATTTTTAATTTCATAACAAATCACTTATTTTATTAATAAATTATCAAGTCAATTAACAATTTTTAATAATGTTAGAAATATGTTTCAATTAATAATTTAAGTAATTTTATGATTGTATAAGAAAATAATTATAAATTTTATTTTTTTAATTAATTTTGTTAAATAAAAAATTCTAATAAGAGAGTATTTATAATTTTTTAAATTATAAAAGATAATTTATATTTTAAATAAATCTCATAAAATATAATTATAATTCATCTAATTTAAATTAATGAAATATGAATATTATAATGTTTTGAGAAAAAAAAATTTAATGATTTTTTTGTCCAAGAATTGAGTTATTTTAGATAAAAAACTGATTTTTTTGTGTAGAAAAATTAAAAAGCTAAAAAAATGGCTTTTTATCATTGTTCCCCAATAGACCCCATTGTTTGTTTGAAGATATACACTGAACACCAAAACACTAACCAAATGACAAACCAATGTCACCTGTCGCTGTAATTTTTTGGTCACTTTCGCCGCCCATGCCAAAAAGCATCACGAGTGTTTCCCTCTAATTATAGCCTCTCTGTTTATTTACTTTCCCCTATATTTCTCTCTCTCTCTCTCTCTCTCTGCTACTACTCTAGTCTAATCTAATCCACTCACTGAAGTGAAATGAATAATCACATCACATCTAAAACCATATCTCTAATTCCCCTTAATACCTGTTTTCCATTCCTTCACTGGTCACTTCACTCGTGCATGAACTCCCCCCTCTATCTCTCTCCTTCCGTTACTCTCTACTCTCTATAAATGTATATTTGTCACTCTATCTCTCTCCTTCCGTTACTCTCTACTCTCTATAAATAAATATTTGTCAGTCTCCTCCATGAATGCTTGTTAATTCACATTGTTTCTCTCTCCTCTGTACTACCAACAAATGACTTCTCACTCTGATCATCTCCTTGTAACACTGGTCTTGTTCGTCGCGGTTTGTGTTTCGGTGGTCACTTCTTCGCAACGAGACGTCGTCGTTTTGCTCCGGGTCAAGAATGGCAGTCTCAACGACCCGACCGGCCTGCTCCGTGATTGGGTCGATACCGGTCCCGTTGCTCCATGCAACTGGACCGGTATCGCCTGCGATCCTCAGACCGGCGCCGTAGTTTCTGTTGATCTCGCCGGACTCGGCATCTCCGGCGAATTCCCTGCCAATTTTTGCCGGATACCGACTCTCCGAAACCTCTCTCTCGGCTATAACAACCTCAACGGTAGTCTCTCCTCGATGTCTATCTCTCTCTGCTATCATCTCCATTTATTGAACCTCTCTTCCAACTATTTCGCCGGTGAATTGCCGGATTTTTCGCCGGAGTTCGTCAACTTGATTGTTCTCGATCTCTCTACCAACTACTTCAACGGCGATATTCCGGCGAGTTTCGGCCGGTTTTCCGCTCTCAAAGTTCTGAGTCTGTTCAACAACGCTCTCGGAGGCTTGATTCCGGATTTCTTGACCAATCTTACTGAGTTGACTCGTTTCGAACTCGCTTACAATTATTTCAAACCAGGTCCACTACCTCCGGCGATCGGAAACCTGAGAAAGCTTGAAAATCTTTGGATTCCCAACACGAACCTCGTCGGAAACATTCCAGTCTCTATCGGCGATCTCGTTGCTCTAACAAATCTTGATCTCTCCAATAACAATCTCTCCGGCGAAATTCCTAGTAGCATTGGTGGATTGAAAAGTGTTGTGCAAATTGAATTATTCAATAATCAATTGTCCGGTGAATTGCCTAGTGCTTTATCGAATTTGACTTCGCTGCTTCGACTCGACGTTTCTCAGAACAATCTCACCGGGAATTTGCCGGAGAGTATCGCCGCTATGCCTCTCACTTCACTCAATCTCAACGATAATAGATTCGAAGGTCTAATTCCAGAGAGTCTAGCTTCAAACCCTAGCCTCTCGCAATTGCATATTTTCAACAACAGTTTTTCCGGCATATTGCCGGTGAATTTAGGTCTCAGCTCTGATCTTGTAGATTTGGATGTCTCTGGCAACGAATTGGAAGGTTCATTGCCTCCGAACCTCTGTTTCAGAAACAAACTTGAAATTCTAATCACTTTCAAAAACAAATTCTCAGGCAAAATTCCTGAATCGTACGGCGATTGCAAGACTCTGTATTACATTCGTATCTACAGTAACGAACTCTCTGGACAAGTCCCAGATCGTTTTTGGAGCTTACCTGGACTTCAATTTCTTCAACTCGCAAACAACAAATTCGAAGGTTCGATTCCGAATTCGATCTCCAATGCTCGAGGATTAACTAATTTATTGATCTCCGGCAACAACTTCTCAGGCGGACTTCCGGTTGAAATTTGTCAATTGCAAGAGCTTATAGTCATGGATGCGAGTAGAAATCAAATTTCCGGCGAATTGCCGAATTGCATAACTGAATTGAAGAAGTTGCAGAATCTGGAGCTTCAAGAGAACATGTTTGCGGGTGAAATTCCGAGCAGTGTTGGTTCTTGGAAATATCTTACCGAGCTCAATTTCTCTCACAACAATTTGCAAGGCGAAATTCCCGATGCCCTCGGGAATTTGCCCGTGTTAACGTACTTGGATCTTGCCGGAAACTCACTTACCGGCGAGATTCCGGTGGCGCTGACGAAGCTGAAGCTCGACAAGTTCAATCTTTCCAACAACAAACTTGAAGGTGAAGTCCCTAGTGGTTTTGACAATGAGTTCTTTCTCCAGAGCCTAATGGGTAACCCGGGTCTATGCGGTCTGGATCTCAAACAGCTTCATCCATGCCCGAAACCCAAACCCGTTAGCCTCTATGTGATAGGAATTCTAGTGGCCTTGGCGTTGTTAGTCGTTGGGTCTATTATATGTCTAGTGAAGACCAACACTTTGAATGTGCTTTTCGGTAAAAAGAAGTCTTCATGGAAGACTACCTCATTCCAACGGGTCGGGTTCAATGAAGAAGAAGTTTTGGCCTCAATGACAGAAGAACATCTCATTGGAACGGGTGGATCGGGCCGGGTTTACATGGCGAAGCTCAAGAGGGGGCAGACTGTGGCAGTTAAGAGGCTGTGGGGAGGTAACCAGCAAGTGGACATGAAGGCGGTGTTTCAATCGGAGGTGGAGACGTTGGGAAGAATCCGACATAACAATGTTGTAAAATTGCTGATGAGTTTTATGGGAGAGGATTTTAAGGTTTTGGTGTACGAGTATATGGTGAATGGTAGTTTGGGGGACACATTGCATGGAGAGAAAGGCGGAGTGTTATTGGATTGGCCTACGAGGTTCTCAATAGCGGTTGGGGCGGCCCATGGGCTGGCCTACCTGCATCACGACTGTGTGCCACCTATTGTCCACCGGGATGTCAAGTCTAACAACATTTTGCTGGATGAAGAGTTCAGGCCGCGAGTTGCTGATTTTGGGCTGGCCAAGTCATTGCTACAGGATGTGAAGGAGGGCACTGGAGTGATGTCACGTATTGCTGGTTCGTGCGGCTACATTGCACCCGGTGAGTTTTTGCCACCATGGTCTTGTCGTAGTTATTTTTGCTTAACTAGTTTAGGTCACGGTCATAGATTTTGACATCATATAACATGCATTACTATAAACAAATGCAACATATGGTTGCCCCAGTTGGAACAAGTTGTGCTAGTTGCATAGAATTAAATCATAGATTAGAGAAAAAAGATCCCATCTCTATCTTGTGCTGTATTCTATGGTTTAATTCCATGCTACTAAATTTGTCAACTTGAATTTGTTGGGTGTGTGATAGCATGTCAACAATTGGCAGACTTTTTTAAACTACATGTGGGGGCAAAATGGAAACAAGTGATATATAGACCCAAAAAAAGGTGACTTTAAAAAAGCATACATGTAAGTCAAATTTTAGTATGTTTGGGCTTGTTTATTTAGATTTTAACGGATTCGAGTTCGAGCTCGAATTTGAGCTCAATAAAAATTTAACAAATTGAGCTTGAACCGATTTGGCTTAGGCTTGACTCGAGCTCGAGCTCGAGCTCAAACCTATTCACGAACTCAAGCATATTCACGAGTCTTAACGAGCTAAAAAATTTATAAATTCATACTTGCGTATGAAATTAAAGGTACAACTAAAATTTTGATTATACAATTATATATATAATATATAAACATTGTAAAAAAAAATCAATATTTTACCAAAATAATAATATTTACTACCACTATTATATAAATATATTATCTATAGTTAACTATTATTAACATTTATATTTTTTAAATATATGAATAACATATTTATCTTATTTTTTTATACATCTTTTTATATTATTTAATATATGAATAATAAATATTAAATGAGTCAGTTAATGAGTCGAGCTTATGAAGCGAACTTTAGAATGTTTGGACTTGTTTATTAAAATTTAACGAGCTTGAGCTCGAGCTCGAACGTAAAAAAATTTAATGAACCAAGTTTAAACGAGCTCTTACCGAGCCAAGCTCGAGCCTGTTCACAAACGGGTCTATTCATTTGCAGCCCTAAATATGGGCATATTTGATTTAACTTCTAGAAAATGTGATTCTTTTTTTCTTTTGAAATGCTTGTTCAAGTATGCTCGTTCCCTTCCTTTTGGAAGTATGCGTACTCAGTATGGTAAGAAATGATTATCTAATCAAACCATTTTTATGTATGATTATCCATATTGAAAACTCACTGTTTTGTACTGATTTCAGAGTATGCCTATACGCTGAAAGTGGATGAGAAGAGCGATGTTTATAGCTTTGGTGTGGTGTTGTTGGAGCTCATAACTGGTAAGAGGCCAAACGATGACTCCTTTGGAGAGAACAAGGACATTGTGAAGTGGGTAACAGAGGCTGCAATATCATCTCCAGAACAAGGAACCGGCATTTCTCGGATCGATTTGGATCAGCTTGTAGATCCAAAGATGAACCCAGCGACAAGCTATTATGAAGATATTGAGAAAGTCTTGAATGTTGCTCTTCTTTGCACTTCAGCTTTTCCCATGAACAGGCCCTCCATGAGAAGGGTTGTTGAATTGCTCAAAGACCATAAATTGCTTCATCAAAAGTGATAATGTGCTTCGATTGTAGTAGTCGGTAGGCCTTTGATCCTTCGGACTCTTTGCCCCTTCTTTGGTGGCATCCCATTTTCGCATGCAAGTGTCATGGCAAGTGGAGAGGCTCAGGGAAAGCTTCTATAGTTACCAAATACACACAAAATTCACAGAATGAGATGAGTGAGACTCATATATATGGACCCCATAGATGCAGGTTTCATTCATTTGTTCTCATCTATGTCTCTTTCTATAAAAGCTTTATGTTAGTGTAGTAAACATTTTTGTCCCATTGCGTTAAAAAAAAAAATTATGTGCATAATACAGTTGTTTGTTATATATAGCTAGTTAAAGAAAAGAATCACATTTTACAAGTCCAAACTTGAATTGCCTAATGCTTTTGAATTATTATTTTCATTCCTATTGGGAGTGATATATATATATATATATCTCTAGTGGATTGACGATAAATGGCTTGCATAGGTTTTGGGGTTTGTCAAATACATATTGCAGAAAATATCCATAGATAGAATTCTTATATAGAAAATTCATTGAAATACCTAGTTTGATGCAGTTATCACCATGTTTGTACTATATTTCCTATGGTAATCAAAATAAAAATAAATAAAAAGAAAAGTTAGAAGATGGAGAGAAAATGGTCCAAGTGGACTTTGATTGGTGCCCCTGTGACTGAAGAAGTCTGGCATATCTAGAGATGGCAGTAGATTCTGAAGCTCAGTACATTTATGAAATAAAAATGATTTTAAAAAGAATTTTTTTTTCTTTTATACATAATTTCATACCAAAATGATGTGTACTCAATAATTATTTAAAAAATATTGGTCACATTAATAGACTTTTGTTTTTAAAGTAATAGAACATAAGATATCACATCATTATTCTATCTAAAAAAAAAATGTCACATCATTCTAAATTATAATTTTAGAAAAAAATTGAATAATTCTAAAACTGTTTCCAATAAATAGAAATTTGCAAATCGTAGTAAATGGGTCTTTTCTTATTTTGCCTAATTAGTTAACAAAGTAAGTCAACATTGTTTCACCCATTAAATTTTTTGTTTTACCAACTACCTTGGATAATAAGACGTGGTATTCCAAAACTATCTAATAATTATTCCAAAAAATTGATTTGTATAAGGGTTCTACTATAGTGTGCAACCCACTTACGGTTGCACACCATATGCAACCCAATTGTTGCCATTAAAGGGTGTAAGTGTAAATGTGTAAATATAAAAATAGAAGGGTGTAGATGCCTTGCATACCACATGCAAGGCATACCTAAGAAAAGTCCTTTGTATATATGTGAGCCTCGAAAGTCTGAAAGACATAATCAGAACAAAACCCTTGGCATCTAGTGGCTTTGGCATTGACTTTATAATTTAGGTGGGAAATGTCACTCTGTTGGAATGGTATCTCATTAAAAACAAGAATCATAAGAAGATAAATTGATCCACATTATGAGCCAGGCTTCTGTCAAAATGCATTCAATTCAACTTCAGCCAACTCTCTGAACAGACTTGTCTTTGAGAGATTTTGATTGATCAGAAACACAAATAAAATTCTTGTGAGGAAAGGAGGTTGAGAATCCACTGCAATTGAACAGATCAAATATATTCATGAAGATGAGAATGAATGAACAATTATATATATATATATATATACATATTTTATTTAAAGAAAAAGATGATGAGAACGGCATAGTCATGTGGCAGTTCGAATCTGATCTCTCCATTTTCTGGGCGGCCATAAATAGAGACTTTCGAAACTGAGGATTGGCACTGAAAAATTGGAGATAGGAAGGGCTAGAGGTCTTACATGAAAGCCAGAGTCTTAGTGAGTTTGGTGGCCAGAATGACTTGCCTGCACTGCACCTTTCAAGGGGGCATGAAGTAACCTTAGCTTGGCTCTCTCTGCAGGCAGTCATCTCTGGCCTTTGACAGGCTTTTACCACTCATGCAAGGCCTTTCTCTCCATCATAAATCAAGTTATGCACCAATGTTGGCACCACGGTTTTAAATATCGTTTGATACGTATCTAATATTTGACTGTATCACTGATATCAATATGTATCTCAATATTAATGCAGCATGGAAGGATATATAGGTTCCAGGAACAGAAGTCTAACATGGAAAGTAAGAGTCTTGTTTGGCAGCCAGGGATGGCTTGCCTACCCCATGGACACAATGGATCTTTGGTTTGATATATGTAGAGCAATTTTTGTATGGTTGTTGGGCAATCATCCTGGCTCAGTAACAGGCTCTTCTGTTTCATGCTAGACTTTCTTTTCTTGCCTAAACGCATTTCAAACTGTCTCCATCCCTTTACCCATAAAATTGAATTGGCACGCTTTATAAGGACAAATGTACAAAAACTTTTCTGCTGTTCAATGTGATTATAACTTCAAATTTTTTTTTTTTTTTTTGGTTCATTTCACAAAATTGACCCTCTCTGAGACTGCCAACTGAAGATTTCCTATTGAGCATTTCCGGGCTCACTTCGATAATCTTAATTGTTTATCTTTTATAGTTCATTGAACAGATCATTCATGCAAAAAATAAATTTGATCAAATATGAATAATTACATAATTAGATTACATTTGTCTTAAAAAATCAAACAATATGTATGATTTTGTGAATAGTCTATTCAATAATTTTAATTTTTTATATTGATATTTTGCTTATCGATCTCCACACAATAAATTGTTCAGATCATCAATGTGAGCTTGAACTAAATCTCCCAAGGCCTAACAAATCCAATGAATTCATTTAATGTTTATTATTAAAAAAGATTTGAAATAACATACAACGAAACTTAAAACAAAAGTGCAAAGATACACAAACACGACTGAGATACTCACTAACTCACAAAAAAGACCCTACAAAAATGGACCTAATTTAGAAAGGAAAATGTTTGGTAGCTCAAATTTTTGTGGCTCAAATGGCTCAAATCTGTCAAAACGACGTCGTTTTACACTCAAAATCTGTCAAAACGACGTCGTTTTGACAGATTTGAGCCACAAAAATTTGAGCTACCTAGCATTGTCGATTTAGAAAATAAAGTCACTCTCAAGCCAATGAGGCTAAGCTGAAATATAGTTATCACTCATTATCACTTGTCAATTGAGGCGAAACCGATAACAATATTCCCTATGCTTGGTTTCACTTTTCAAAAAATACTTTTCAGAAAATTTTACTTTCTTATTTTTCGTGTTTTTTTGTTTTTACTGATTTTTTTAAATATTTTAAGTAATTTTTTAAATTTTTAGACATACCTAACTTAGATGTATCTAAGTAAAAAATTTGTGAAGAAAACATTTTAAAAATTCACTAAATACCCAAAATACAAAAAAAAAAATGAGAATTCAGTACATTTTTTATATTTTTATGTATTTATTAATTTTTTAAAATATTTTCTCACAAATTTTTTATTTTTTAGATATATCTAAGTAAGGTGCATCTAAAAAGTAAAAAAAAATGTTTAAAATTTAAAAAATATTCACTAAAAACAAAAAAAACACGAAAATCAAAAAATTTAATTTTCAAAAAACTTAATTCAAAAAACTCAAACCAAACACACTGATTTGTATTTTAAAAAAAAAAACATTATCAACAAAATAAATATATTAACCTATTTATTTCAGTAAAATGGAATTTACAGATCATATATAAATCATGAATATTGTGTATTATAATTTTGTACAACTCACCGTTGGTCCCACATGAATATAGATTATTATAAATTATGACTTTAATCAGAAGCTGTTGATCTGTTTGGTGTAACTGTTGGATTATAGATTTAAGTTGATGAGTAATATTTGTTAAATAAACTGTGAAATATCTTTTTCAATTAACTTTTATTATTTATTATTCACTACTTATCTACATTTCTCATAAAAAATAATAACAATATTTTATAGTCCATTTGGGTTTTTTCTATTTTTAAAAAAATAAAAAATAAAAAAATCTAAGAGTATAACCGTAAATTAACATGTCCACAACAGAAATTGATAATCAGAAGTAAGGGATAAACAGCTTCTCCGAATCAGTTTTTTTTTTACTTAAAATAAGTTGTTAGAATCAGAAACTGTTTGAAAGAAATTTAACCAAACAGTTCAAAATAGCTTTTCAAAAGCCAGAAGCTATAAATTAGCTCAGAAAAGCCAAAACAATCACCCTCAATAAATGGTGGGATATTCATCCAATAATTTTTGTTCGATCATAAAGTTTGCCCAACAGATTAATGTTCATTCACTCATAAGTTAATATATATATATATATATATATATGTGGATGTTTAATTTACGTAATAAAAATAAAAGAATTTGATCATTAAAATGGGCTTTGTTATCGGCCCACAAGGTTGGACAGGACCGATTCAATCTAAGACCTATTTTGAGAACTTGGATAGCAGTTATGTTTTGGCTTATGTCCAAATTTTTTGACTTCATTCACAAACTTATTTGGTAAGATGGAAAAAAATTACTTTTTTGCTTTTTTCAATATTATTTGTTTATTGGGTCACGCAAATGGGTAAATTGACCATATTATCCTATGCAAATTTGTGAAATTACAATTATACCATCACTGGAGGGTATTTTGGTGTCGCATCACAGGAGGGTATTTTGATAATTTTGGAAGTTGACTTATTTCTAACTTCTTAAATGATTTTTGGGTGCTGTTATGGTGTGCAACCCCTTAAGGTTGCACACCATGTGCAACCAACACAAAAGGTGTAAATGGAAGGTGTAAACATAAAACAGGACAGCAAACAGAAAGGCGTAAGTGTAACGTGTAAGTTGCACACTTAAGAAAAGTCCATGATGCTTTTGGCTTTTTGAAAAAAATTCAAAAAATAATTTATATCCTTATTTTCAAAATGGTCAAGCTTGTCTGATGTTTGAGGTCAAGACTGGACCATCCAGTTCAGCCCATCAACTCATTTTTGGGCCTCATTTTGATAATCTGAACCGTGCAATGTGTAGAACTCGTCAAATACTATATCTTTGTAAAAAATCACGTTGATCAGATATCGATATCTATTTGATCGGATCAGATTTCTATTAACCGTTTATTTTTTCACCATCTATTTTTTTTAATAGAAATTTGATTCGATCAAATAACTATTGATATCCGATCAACGTGATTTTTTTACAGGGATATAATACTCGACGAGTTCTACACATTGAATAATTCGAATTATCAAAACGAAGCCCAAACATGGGTCCATGGGCCGAATTGAACGATACAATCTTGATCTCAAACATCAAACAAGCTGGACCCTTCTCAAAATAGGCTTAAATAGAGGTCCGAGAGAATCCAATTTATTTAAGAGGTGTATAGTCTA